GGGGCAGGGGGCAGGGGGCACGGGGCGGGGCATCCCGCGTGACGTTACGGGGGAGGGGCTTGAGAGGGAGGCGGGAGCCCTGGGGGTGACGTCATGGGGAGGGGGGTCCTCGGGGTGAGGGGTCATATGGGGGGGTGACATCATGGGGAGCCCTGACCCCCTCACTGCGAAGCGGGGGAGGGCTGTGTGGGGGGCTGGGACCAGGGTCCTCAGGAAACTGGGCGAGACCCTCGAGGCCGCCTTCCCTCCCGCGTCGGCATCCAGCAGAAGTGGGCGCTATTCCTGGGTCCTGCTTGGCTCAGCCTCAGGAGGGTCCCGCCAGCGCTGTCGTCTGAGCTCACTGGTCCGTGCCAGCAGGTGAATCCACATACTGGAGACCAGCCTCCCGTGAGGAGACGTTGGATAAAAAGGAGCGCGTTTCCGTAGGCCAGGCGCCTTCCCCAGCTGTCTGAGCCCAGCGGGCAGCGAGAGCGCAGCGTAGATGCCTGACTCAAGGCATTGAAGTTCGGCCGAAGCCTTCAATTGCCTTTGTTTAGGAGTCGGCGTTTCTCTGTGGATGGCCGACGATGGCACCGAGCCATGAGACGCGTGCGGGACGAAGGTAGAGCTGGGTCTGTGATGAGGGCTGACGGCAACGTCATCTTTAGGGATCAGTGGTGCTGCTGTCTGCCGAGGGGTGCACCAAGCTCTGTGCGCGCTTGCGTCCTGCATCTTAGACTGGCCGGGATGATGCTGTTGCCTCTTAGGGCCTTTACATTTGGACTCTTTCTCTCCTTAGTCTCCTGTTGGTACCCCAGTTCAGCTGAAGGCAATAGCAGCGGGAGCTGCTGTCATAAAGATAGACACCTGTGATGTGATATTAGCTTGGCAGAGGAAATCTTAGCGTGAGGGTTCGGCTGAGAAAGGGAGAACGCGTTGTCTTGGGCGTCTCTAAACAGTTGAGTTCAGCGTGTCTTGAAGGTGGTAAATTCCCTGCTTACCCTTGTTGTCTTCTGGCCTCATTGTTCAGCGCTGCAAGCTGTTCGAGGGCTTAGGTGAAAAGACGACATTGTGAGAGCTGTTCAGAAGTCTCAAGAAGACCATCAGGAGCCTAATCTGTTTTTTAGTGAGCTCTGATTCTGTATTTTTAAAGGGAATACCACTTCAACCTTGCTTTGCAGAGTACGGTGAATTTCTCTGTATGGTACAGCCCAACCCACTGAAGTGGACGTTTGTTCATGGGAAAATTTAGCTCTGAAGACTACTTTGTGCAACAGGTGCATCTCTCCCCATTTGCATGTCTTTTGGAGAGATGCTGCAGTGGTGATCGGGAGCATTTGGACACCCTCCACACTGTCCATGTGAGAGGGCAGTTGTATTTTCTCTAGCATTTAGATGTTAAGAAGAGTGGCTAAATACACCTGAAGTGAAATTCTCTGATGGGGTAAAATTGCAAGGGGTAGAGCCCCATGGATGCACTCCTTTCTTTACAGTGTATTACGTGATACTATAAG